ACGGTTAAACCATCCAAGTTCGCAGTTCTCTAACCATTTCAACATTTTTTTTGTAAAATAATAGTTTGGGCCAAAATAAAACTAGTGACTTGATTGCTTCTCGACCAAACGGTTCAACTATCCAGATTGGTCTAGTTTTTAAAACATTGAATAAAATACTCATTTTTGAGTTTAATCCCTATTTAATTTTAAGGTTTAAATTGTAAATTAAACTACTACTTTTCACCTCATTTAATTCCCTCTATTTAAATCTTACATTTTTTTGATAAATAAACAAAAGAAAAGAAGATACACCAAAAAGATAAAACACTATAAAAAGAAAAGTCTACCTAAACAAAATGGCCTATCAATGATATTTGAAACTTAACAATTTGATCTGATTACCACATATTTGGATGAGATATTTATGTAATCAGATTTGGATTTTGCAAATTGCATCTAATTAATAATAAAAACAAAAAATAAAAATAAATAAAATTTTTTAAAAAATTGGATATATTATTACTATAATTACTAATCAGAATAGTTAAAGTTGTAGATTCTTTAACCATTCATGGGTTGACGAAAACAAAAAGCCTTCCATGTAGAATTGCATATTGAGCTATGGCATGCCGCATGGGCAGCCTTGTTCCCCTCCCCATCAATATGATTAATGCTATAATTATAGAAAGATTTAAAACATTATTTAATATCATCCATGATATTATGGCAAAACCAAGGAAAATAATCAACATAGCTTTCAAGAGCCCTTAGTGCCTATTTGGAAGGGGTTTCATGCGGCAGCTTTTGGCTTTACAATTGTGGGCCCCATACAAAAGTCTATATAAGCTATGTTTGGTGAACCCGAAAACCCTCAAAATGAATTGGTAAAAGTGGCTCAATGAACGTTGAAGGAATCTCAAAATGGCCTTAACTGCTTGTAAATTGTTATATTCAATTACTGTTTGTTTTCTAACCATCACTCTTTGCCCACTCAAGAGTTTGGAGAGCATCGTTAGTGGTTCTAGGTGCAAAATGTGCTGAACAGTTTGAAGATATCATTTAACAATTCCCTCCAAATTGATCACAATTTGGTGAATGCTTTGCGCCATGGAGGGTATGTAAGTTCGTCCAACAAGGTCTCAAGGATAGCCAATGCATCTCTGAAAGATATTGTTGGAAAGTTGAGGTACGGATAGCAACCGTAAGCTTTCTGTTTTGGGAATGGATCTGGCCACTGCTTTTTGGGTCAAATGTTTGATTGTCTGGTTTAAACGGACAATCTGTTATGATAAAAAATAAATAAATAAAATAAAAGGTCAAAAATTATTGAACGGTTCGACTGTCTAGATCAACGAGTTGTTGACTGATTCAACAGTTTTTGGCCAAGGACCAGGTTTGGGGTAAAACAAAACCGATTGCCTAAACAGTTTCCAAGTCAAACGATCTAATTATTCAGGTCAACAGCGAATTGAAAACCATGAATAAAACAAATGCTTTTTTTTTTAATCCAATCTCTAATATAGATGCCTGATTTATTATTATAATGCAATTTCAATTGCTTTAGAATTTTCATTCATTCAATTCTGATTTATTTTTATTGTAAATTCCATTACTTTGTTTTGCTTCTTTGCAAATCAAACCTAAAACAAAGTAAAATAAAATTAGAAGCAAAACTACACCAGAATATAATTTGCACTGCTATGCATTTTCAGTCGTACAAACAAAATTACATTGAAAACAAATGGAGCTTGAGGACAATTGGATATTTGCGCTCTACGCATAATTTTTGCGAGGGTTTGACTATGATACTAAAAAGACATGATGTCTAAAAAATTTAATAACCAATCAAGTGGTATTGATCAATGATTATTATTTGTCAAAGCTCTTCCCAATGCCAACCCTTTCCGGTATCATAAAATTTCACTATTTGCAAAATTAAAAAATGCCTAGGTACAAAACCTCACTATTGAATTTTAAATTTGTTTTAGTGTTACATAAATATTAGATTAAAATTTTCGCATAGTGGTCGGGACGTATGCCAAAACAAAGTATCGGAATTATAATTTTGCCCATAAAAAATATCGAATTATTTGGCAGAAATCTTACCAAAAAATTAATTATTTGGCAGAGAATGTCAGTCACAGCTGCATGACTTTGGCCAACTACGACAAGAATCAAGAGATTTTGGGCAGTTTGAGCTTTAAAGATATCTCGTAAAACTATAACCACATTCCAAATGAAATTCAGAATTCAAAGATACAGAGGAAGAAAGAAATTATAAAGTTTAAGGACATAAATGTTCGGGATCGAAGCATTAAATCAAAATAAACTGATCAGAGGAGAGGAGAACTGGAGAAGGTCTGTAGTTGCCGCCGATTGAGGCGCCGGGATCTGACCTACATGCCGTCATTTCTTGGCGAACAGGCCACCAAACCCACCGGATTTCTTGGGTGGAACTGCCACGGATCTCTTCCCGCTCGTGGTGCCACTGTTTTTCTCCTCGACCTTCTTGAGAATGGGATCGGTCTCAAGCAACTGATCTTCCTTCTGCAAACCTCCGAGGATCCAGTCCAGAAGCCCTTTCTCCTCACTGCTTCCCCCGGAACTCTTCGCCGCCGTCGCCGCATATACTCTCCCTGCTGGCAGAGCAAAAGTTATGGGCAATGAAGCCATCTCAACTGTATGTTCTTTGTGCTTCTCTTCTCTTGTTAGCAGTGTTTCGATGGAAATGGAACGAATGGAAGAGTGATATCTGCTGGCGATAATAATATATCCTTCTCGTTCTGATGAGCGCAGACGAACCGTTGGATGGAAGACAAGATCATGATCATGTCAAATGGGAGCGTTTGTAGCACGAGCCCGCCACAAGTGTCTTATCTTTCTTCGTTTCCATTTTCTTTTCGCTTAAAAATACGAGAGAATTTTTAGAGGAAATGAAGCCTCATCCTTAATTGGTTATAATCTTGACACGTGGTCTTACCTTATCCATTTATTTTCCACTAAGCCCACAAGGATTTTTCTGCGTGTGCAGGGATGATTATGGGCCGGGCCAGGCTTAGCACCTACGATAAAGGCTAAAGCCTGGGCCTGGCCCGGCCCAGACCCTGGCCTATATATCCAGAATTTTCTGGGTCAGACTGAAATTAGGGATATCAATTGGGCTAGGATTTTCCCCAATTACAGCCTTGACCGTCTTTGTCCGGACTACAAGCAAAACATCAAGGCCCGTAATTTGGTAGGTGCCTCTTAATAAAGAGCTTACACAAGTGAAATTATTTGAAATATTTAATCAAAACAATTATTTGAAATATAAACATTTTGAATTTTATCCAAACTTTAGATTATTATTATTATTATTATTATTAAATCAACATTTAAAATAACAATACTATAATATTAAATGATTAAACCAAACTCAGGGTAGGGATGTAATTTGGATGGGATTCATTCGAGCTTTTGTTAAATTTTGAATGGGTAGGAGATCCGGAGGTATTGCGCCCCATGAGCATTTTATATAAGGTGCAACATTTTATAGAGTGTGTGCAGCATTCGTAGTAGGCAATGGTTCTGTGGAACTGATTAGGGGTGTTCAATTCAAAGACCAATTTCGTATTAAATGGGCCTAGAAAGTCAGTCTTGGGCCCCATTTATTGTAAGGTGCCATAAGTCCCATAAATGTCTAAGGCCCACGACAGAGCTTGCTACCTCTCTCTCTATGGTAAATAGATAAAATCCCATACCCACCATAGTGAGCCAAAAACTAGTTAGAAAAATGATCCCATTTCTGCACACTTCCTAGGAAGCTCGAAACACAAAGCATAAATCAAAAGTTAAAATCAGTATTCTTAAACCTTGGTTGGCCGGTTTAGGCTAGTGGGTCACGGGTGAAATAGTATGTAATTTTCCAAAACCAACTCAGAAAAAAATGTGAAGAAAATAAACGGCTTAAAAATAAAGGATTGTTTGGCAAGTCTTAACAGTTCAGTAGACAAGAATCACAAGAAGACGCAATGACGGGTTCACATTATGATTTACCGGGCTGTTACAAACAGTTGGAAATGCTATTTTCAGCCCAGAAAGACCAAAGGCTTTAATTTGAAGCTTCCTGATTTTGACTGTTTCAATCTTTCCACGCGCTCGTCTTTGCGTGTTATGGTCTATGTGATACCAAACAGAAAAGATCATTTTTAAGTCTTTTAAGCTTCTCACAAACCGAAAGATGCATCAAACACCACCTAAAATTAAGGCTAAGTTTGAGAGTGCAATAAGCCCTTAATTGAGCACTTATTTTGAGCTGGAACCATATCAATAAGGCCTGAATAAGTGTTTATTCCTAAGAATAAGTGCTTATTTGAAAAGCCTAAAATTTGGGTTTATTTTTAAATACTTATTCAATAAGTGCTTATTTCCTTTATGCCCTGTCCTGCCCCATTATGCCATTTTGAAAATACCTATACTACCCCTGTTTCAATGAAAATGAAATAAGTGATTTCCTAGTAAACACTCATAAGTAGTTATTAATAATAAACACTTATTTTTAAGCAATTATTCAATAATCTCTAATATTTTTTCAAATAATTACTCCCAAACCCGGCAACGCTCATAGCTCATCTTATCAATACGTTAATCTTCAGGCACCTACTGGAAAATGACGGAATTGACCTTGAGGTCCTTAACATTCTGAAATTATCTGCCAGTCAACGGAGTCCGTAAGAGAAAGGACAAATTTGGCAGCCCAAATTCAAATCTGCAACATGATCCAAGTACGACTCATTGCTAACCCGTTATTTTATATATTTCGTTGAAACTCCAAACGAGTAGGTTGTCGCGAAACGGTGCAGATTTCAAGCATAAAATCCAACAGAGTAAACGCAGAGATAAAAAAACAACGTCGGAGGAGAATGTCGAAGCATTTAAAGCTCCCTCCTGATCACTAAAATCTGGAACGACGTGCTGAACAGAACCCATGAAAAAAGTTAACTTTCAGAGAAATATAATTGTATTAGGGTTTTGCCGTTCTTCGCTACAAAGTCTACTCTAAAACTGAAACTGATCCTTAATCCAGATAACAAACATTTATGGACCTTTTTTTTTTCTTTTCCTTTTCTTTACTATTACTAAAAGATTCAGATTGATCTGAAGCTGGTCACAGAAAGCTTAAACGAAGATCCAATGGTGGATGATCATTCTCTTTCCCGATCCCATACGAGAATGTCGTTTCCTTGTATTCGTTCCTAAATAGTCTCAGCTTCAGGGAGTCCGAATCCTGGTACGAGTTCAGCGGAAAGAGCTGCAGCGTTTCTATGGTTCTTTCAGGCTCCGAAACGAGATCAACTTCCACGAAATCTGCAAAACTAAAGGATTTCAATATCAATAAAGCAACGAATTGGAGATATTTAACACAACAATATAAACACCAGATATTTCAACGAGGTTCCTACAGAAACTATAAAACAAGGAAATAGAAACTTTTCCTTTGAAACGTATTCATGTATATATAATACAGATGTTTATTATGGTTTTCTGTGTTCACTTTCGTTAGTTTTGTCACTTACGTTTTGTTGCTGGTAAAACTTTGTCCACTGCTCTGTCGATGAAATCTTGGTCGTCGACAGATACTCTCTTGCGTTTCTGCCTTTCTCTGGCTTTATGGTTCTGAAACCAGTAGAAGACGTTCTTGCTCTCTATCTTTCCGTAAAAGCTGAGCTGAGTTGAGATCTTCTGGATCTGATCAGTGCTCGGAGTTCGGAGCCCGGATTTGAAAAGATCAGTGAGAACTTTAACTTGTTCTGCTGTCGGATTCCAACGCCCGCACTTGGTTCCTCCACCACCTCCTCCAGCTGCATGACAACCACCACCACCATATCCATATCCTCCAGCTCTAATACAGAAACCCAACATTCGTTCATCCATATATACGACCTTTTCTTCTCCGAGTCTCTGATGAAGTTACTGAGCTTCCTTTTCTATGCTTCTGAACTCAGAAGTTCCAACAGGGGTGTTTATATATACTACACCACGTTAATCAAAAGGTTTGTTCTGTTTTGTTTTATTGAATGATAGATGAATAAAAAAAAAACAGCAGAACGGGCTTTTTTTTTTGTTTATTTCTGACTGCTTTGAGTTTAGTACAAACAATGAGATGGAACTGTGAGTGTTCTGATTTGAGTTTGGCCTGGTTTTTTGTGCACTGGAGAGAGAATGAGAGAGAGGAAAGGAGACATGCGCAAAAGCTGCCACTGAACATACTTTTTTTATTCCAAAACTTCCTTAGTTTGGAGATTAAATAATAATAATGATGATAAAGAATCATCTATAGGCTTGGTGGTATTCATTCGGAGATAAGAGGAAGACAGAGATTAGAGAGACACACAGATATGTAGGGTTTCTGAATTTCTTTCAGATTTATCTTTATCAAAAAAAGAAAAAAAATATTTTGAGAAGTTGTCTAAAAACTAACCATTACTTGTCACCAATTCTCTTAAACTTACCACAACTTTTCAAAACATTCAAAACTATCTTGTCATTTTTCAACCCAAAACAATAACGGATGTTCGACCCATTTTACAATAACCCAAAATTATCTTGTCATTTTTCAACCCAAAACCCTAATAGTTGAATGGAAGAGAAAACCATCGCCGCTGCTTCTTCCACCGTTTGAGAAAGGGAAAACCATTGCTTCTTCACCTGTTTGAAAAAAAGAAAACGAATGTGAAAACGATTGCCGTTGCGTTGCTTTTTCTACCATTTGAGAAAGGGAAAATCATTGTTGCTAAGACCTTCGACGGCGGTTGTCTGATTAGTGTTTGGGTATGAATGAAACTTGATGAAGGGTGATTTGGCCCGACCTAGTAAAAAGGGGACATGAGGATACGATCTGACCAAGAGATGACAACTCAGCTTAACGTAACCAGTCCGCAGCAGATCGAGCTCGGGTACCCAACTACCCCGAGCTAAAATGACCTCAGGACAAGCTCACCTCGAGACGAGATCGACTCGGTACTAGATCGCAACAAGAACACCTCGATGCCAAGGCACCTCGGCATTCAACCCAGTTCAGGGATATCGACACGCAACTAGACCTGTTCATGGGCCGGGTAGCCCGATGGCCCGGCCCGACTCAGCATTATATATTTTATAAAATATATAATATGTATTTTATATATTATATAAAATATATAAATAATATAATATTTATTAAAATATATATTTATAATTTAATATATTCATTTTTTATTCTTTTCTTTATAATCTCTTTCTCTCACTCACTCACTCACTCACTCACTCACTCACTCACTCACTCTCTCTCTCTCTCTCTCTCTCTATTTAGCCGCTAACAGTATGGGCTAAATTTCGGGCTCAGGCCCAGGCCCGGGCTTCGGGCTTTTTATGAAGGCCGGGCTCAGGCCCAAGTTGTAGGCCCGATGGTCGGGCCGGGCTCGGGCTCGAGCCTTAGAAAATTCTATTAATACAGAGTGAAAGCCCGGCACGAGCCCGGCCCGGCTCGACCCATGAACAGGTCTACACGCCACTACGTGGTGATCCCGAAAACCCCTCCAATGGATCCCGAGTCTCATGAGATCATGCCGTGTAACAGCTAGCATTATCTCCCCGCCCGATTAGGGCGGAATTGATAACCTTATCAGTTGGCAGCATTATCTACTAACTTATACGGAAATGGATCCTATCGTGATGATGATCCTAGAACTGATCCATAAAACCCACGAGGACTCCATTATATAAAGGCTCCACCCCTAGTGGTTCAAGGTACGCGTGATTTATATGCTCTCTAGCTCTCTGCATTCTTAAGCTATTTTTAGCTCGCAACCACTATACTAACTTAAGCATCGGAGCGACCTCGCCGGGCTAGCAACCCCGGGTTCTCTGATCCTCTTGCAGATCAACTGTTCACCATTCGCCTAGAAGCCAGATCACCTCCAGCAGGGAGCAACTAGATCGCACATCATCATTTGGCGCCGTCTATGGGAATTCACTACAAAAAGCTTCTTTCCACCAACAAATACAGAATCAAATCCATGGCTTCCTCTAGCAGCGTCGGACAAAACAACGACATGAACGTCTTTGGGGGGCAGCCTCAGTTCCCTTCTGTTTGCATCGGTCAGTTCACCATTCCGTTTACCGTGCCTAGGGTTCCAACGCTGACCGTGCCCCAAGCGACCACGCAACTGAACGCGCCACTCCCTCCTGTAGCCGGTGCGACGTTCGCTGAACCGTCTATGGTTCCCCTTGAAGCTGGACAGTCCCAACTCGACGACCTGGTACAATGTGTTCGAGCCATTTAGGTCCAAATGCAGCAAGTCCAGCAGTATCAACTATACCAGCAGCAAGTACATCATCAGTTCTATCAGCAACAGTACCAGTAGCAGTTCCCTCCGCTACAGCAGAATCAGCAGCCGGTTCCACCTCGGCACCCGACAGCGCAACAGAATCAGTCCCGTTGTCAGAACACTCGCCCTCTTCGCCAGGGAGAGAGTTCCTAGGTTCCACATCCTCTTGAGAGCCAAGTCTCGTCCCGCAGCAGGAGGGACAAACAATTCACTCCTCCCGCTTCGCAGAATGTGAACAGATCGGGAGACACTCAGCCTGCCAGAGCCATTTCACCCCGGCCTTTGCATCATGAAGGTTCACTTGCAGGAAACCGGTTTGGGGTTTTGGCCGCAGACTCCAAGCAAGGACCTTCCGTCCATGGCAGCCAGCATCAGTAGTCCGAGCCAATCCATGCCAGGACAATACCCGACCACACAGAGGTTAACAACACCAATGCGGAGCCGGTTAGGAAGCAGCAGAAAAAGCGTCGCAAGGCGCGATGAACTACAGTTCGCAACCAGCTCGCCGTTCCTAGCCAACCGGAACAAGTGAAAGGTAAAGAGGAGGCGAACTCAGCGGCTACAAAGACTGCTCCTCTCCTGTCAGGATCGTCTCCTTTGTCCTCCGAGCTCTTGGCGGCCTTTATGCCAAAAGACTTTAAAATGCCTCCGCTAGACAAGTACGACGGATCGTTCGATCCAAATGACCACGTGGACTCATTCCAATCCCAGATGCATCTAGCTGGGGCTGACGAGTCCTGCATGTGCATAGCCTTCTCCACAACATTCAAAGGGGTAGCTCACACATGGTACAGGAACCTCGCGCCAGGGACGATCAAAAGCTGGGCGCAGTTCGTGTAGATGTTCACCTCGCACTTCATCACTAGCAAGAAGTGCCCGAGGTCTCAAGAAAGCCTCCTCAGCATAGTCCAAAGAGAAGGGGAGTCGATCCGAAGCTACATAAAACACTTCAATGACACCTGTTTGCAGATCCCTGACCTGGATCCCGCTGTAAGACTCACGACAGCAAGGAGAGGAATTACACACAGGGAATTCAAGTGGCACGTGGTAGCCAACAAGCCCAAGGACATCACTGAATTCCTCAAGCTCGTCGACCAGTTCATCGGGACAGAAGAGGAGATGAACCAGAAGAGCGAAAATCCAGCGGAGAAGAGAAAAAGAGAAGGTGACAACTCAAATAACAGTGGCACCAAACGAAGAAAAAGCAAGTCCCCGATCAGGGGAGGAAACAAGTCTGGAAGCCGGTCTCCTAAGTCAGGTCGGCTTTCCCGAACATCGCCGATCGAAAGAACGAGCTACACACCCCACAACGCGAAGCGGGGAGAGATCCTTATGGCGATCAAAAACGCATCCTATGTGAAGTGGCCACCTCGGTTGAGGGGAGATCCTGCCACTAGAAAAAAAATGTATACTGTCATTTTCATAAAGATCATGGTCATAGTACCGAAAACTGTAAAAATCTCCGCGATGAGATCGAAGAGCTCATCCATCACGGATATTTGAAAAATTTTGTACAAAAAGAAAATAAAAACCTGACAGATTGGCAAGGTGAGGAAAGGAGAAATGCTCCCGAGTCCAGTAGCAGGCAAAGTGAGCAGCTGCAGAGACAGTTACCAGAAGAAAGACCGATCCACAAAGTAATCAACATGATTACTGGCGGGACCATCGTCGCGGGTTGCACCTCAGCAGCAGGGAAAGCCTCGGTTCACGAATTGGAACATGAAGAGCAGAATCCACTGAAGCGACCTAGGCTCGAAGACCCCATATATTTTATAGAAGATGATGCGCGCAGGGTTCAGTACCCCCACGACGACGCGTTGGTCATAAAGTTGAGAATAAACGACTTTGAAGTAAAGCGTGTCTTGGTAGATTCGGGCAGTTCAGCTGACATCTTGTTCAAGGACGCCTTCGACAAGCTCCAGCTCCAGGAAGGCGATCTCAAGCCCACAAATACTCCTCTGGTAGGCTTCAGTGGAGAAAAAGTCAGACCTCTAGGGCGAGTCACAGTACCTGTAGAGGTCGACACATGGCCTAACATTGCGAGGTTCAAACACACTTTCTTGGTGGTCGCGACTTCTTTCCCGTACAACGCCATAGTAGGTCGGCACATTACCCACGCACTTCGCGCAGTGGTATCCACCTACTACTTGGTCATGAAGTTCCCTACGGACTATGGAGTAGGGGAAATTATAAAGTGCGAGGCGACCAGCTCGAGTCTTGCAAATGCTATGTCGCCTCTCTCAAGGGGAAAGCCAAGCTAGCGGCTGATATCGAACTCAAGCGACCTGTGGAGTATCCCGAGGAGCGAGCCACGCCAACAGAAGAGACGGTCCACATTCCGGTCTCAGTAGAAGATCCAACTAGAACTCTCTAGATCGACGCATTGATCGAGGAACCACTCCGTTTTCAGCTGGTAAGCTTTTTAATTAAAAATTTAGATGTATTTGCATGGTCCGCAGAAGAGATGCTCGGCATAGATTCAAAGATTATAACTCACAATTTAAACACTGATCATTTAGTCAGGGTCGTTAGACAGAAAAAACGCAACCTCGTGTCGGTGCGCTAGAGGACAGTCGACGAGGAGGTCGGGAAACTCTTAGCAGCCG